TCTGTCTGTCTGTCTGTCTGTCTGTCTGTCTGTCTGTCTGTCTGTCTGTCTGTCTTGTCTGTCCGTGTGCAGATACCATTGCGTATGTTTGATTGTATGAGAGGGTGTTGTCATGTATTCTTGTGAATAGTGTAAGGTTGTGAGATTACCACGTCTCAAATCTTGTTAGAGTTTCTTATGAAAAAAAGTGTAGGCGTTTTTACGCCCCGATCGATGTAATCTTGATCATTAAGGTTTAGAAAGAAGTCTTCGATCCTGCTTATACGGGTTAACCTGGGCTGAGCGGGCTACAACGTCCAATTAGAAAGATCGAGGTGCTCGATAGAAAAAATCTCTCTACACGGAAATCAAACTTCAGTCTTCTGTGTGCGACGCCTGGTTCGTTCACTTAGATAGGGCAAGGGTCAATATAGTTTTTGTATACCCCTGTTATAAATATATCGGCGCCTGTGGTGTAATGATTTGGCTCTTGACTTTGAATAATGCGCGCTTAAGACTTAGATGCCAGTGGCTGTTAGATTTCGGCGAAGATAAGACTAAGTTAACGCTGTGTTTCCGCTGAACGTACCCCACTCAGTCCAGGTTGTCCATGACAAACAGGGTTGAAGCAGTCTGACTACTAAGATAATGTAGTACATTTTTGAAGCGGGCGTTAATTGATGTAATTGTTTTCTTATTTATGTTTCCCTTGGGAGAGCGGGGGGGGGGGGGGGGGGGGAGAAATTGCACGAAAAAGTCAGTGATCCTGATCCATCTACCATTCCACCTTTTATAAAATACATGTTGTATTTATTTTATTGTAAATGAAGCTAGCCAAGGTTGCCAGAGGCGAGTGTGCTACTACACCAACTGGTCCCAGTACAGAAACGGACAAGGAAAGTTCATGCCAGAAGACGTGGACCCCAATCTGTGCACTCATCTCATCTACTCCTTCGCCAAAATGACCAATGACAAACTGGCAGCCTTCGAGTGGAACGACGAGGACACGTCGTGGTCTACAGGCATGTAAGTGTGGAAAGGGACTTTTGAAATATATTTGAAAGTAATTTGTTCTTGGTCTACCTTCTTCCATTTTGCTAGTGAGGGCAGGATGTCCAAAGTCTTTATGCCCTTTCACGTGTCCCAGAAATTGCATTTTTCCCCTACTAGTTTTTATTAGTGAGCATGAGAGTCTCAAATTGGTTTCTTTCATCATTAATCACCATCATCAGTCTTTCTTGTCCCCTACTGGAGCTCAGACCACCAATAAGAGTTTTCCATGTTCTGTAGTCCTGGGCTATTGTCTCCATCTTTGTCCACCTCCTCTTGGTTGGAATCTAAGCCAAGTACTTTTAGACCTCCCTTTAATTCTCTTTCCTTGTGAATTTCATCTGAAGGCATGGTGGGTAATGTTCGTTTCCAGTTTTCTCAAGCTGTGTCCAATACACGTCCATTTTCCTTTGCATATCTATTTCTATTGATTTGTTTGCTTCCACTCATGTTCATTTCTGATTTTTTAAGCAGCTGTTGAGAATAGCATGCAGCTTTTCCTTCTTTGTTTTGTAAGTTCCCGTTTGTTTGGTCCATAGAGTAGTAAACGTTGGACCTTGGCATTAAAAATCCTTGTCTTGATTTTTGTTCCTATAATTTCTTAGTTCCATGTGGGTTTTTTTAGTTGTGTGAAAGCGATTCTTGCCTTGCCTATACTTGTCTTTACATCTGCACCTGGTTCCCATAATATTTTATATACAGTTACATCATAAGTCAAGGAATAAGCTTACTCTAGTAGTGTTCTACCGATGGTAATCTGACCGTTGACGGTTGTGTTGATCCTTAGTATCTTGATCTTGTCTGAATTTATCTTAGGTCCTGTCATCTGTGAGATATTTACAAGATTTCCCGTGTCCTCTCTCATCTGTTGGTGACTATGTGAGAGTAAAACGAAGTCACCTGTACAGTAAACGTCCAGACCTCCAAGCTGTGTCCATAATGTCCACTGGATTCCCGTTTTTCTGCGTTCTGCAGTCGATTTCATGATCCAATCGATTTTAAGCAGAAACAAGAGAGGTGACAGTGCACATCCTTGTTTCACGCCTGTGTGTATCTGTTGGTATGACTGCAATCTATATCTTTGCAGTATTCCATGTAAAGTCTGGACAGCTTTTCTTTGATGCCGTATTGTCTGAGAATTTTCCACAACGTGTCACGATGGAGTTTCATTTCAGTATGATCCTAAAAGATGTAATTTGGTCTATACAAGATCTATTCATGATTACCTCATTTGATATTTCGTTTCCTTCCAAGACACTCAACAGTCCCCTTTGAAATTCTCATGCATAATCAAAACAAAAATTTCCCCAGGTACCATCGATTCACCGACTTGAAAAAGCAGAATCCTCAGCTGAAGACCATGATCGCTGTTGGCGGCTGGAACATGGGCTCGGCTCCTTTCGTCCACATGGTTTCCACGGCGGAAACAAGGAAAGTTTTCATCGACGACGCTATTAAGTTCCTCAGGTCTCACAATTTCGATGGCCTTGATTTGGACAACCCAGTGTTTCTTGACCAAGCTGACATACTTTACAGTGACTGTGAAGTGTGTAGAAAGATGTGCAATGTAGTGTGTAATTTTAATACATGACCTTGTAGTTTCTATTTTTATTTTTCTTGCCTCCCCCCCCCCCCCCC